GCTACCATTAAAGACGCTGGGTAGAGAATGAACCAAGACTCTTTAATAAAGGCATGATGTCAGCTAATCCACATGACCTTGTCCCAAGGCATCCCTGTACAAGGACCCGTTGAAGCTTGACATATGAGTCAGGCTTTACAAGATAAAGATAAAAGTAAGTATGTCAGGTATTTATATATATGCAGGTAGTTTTTCTTTTTTGTACATTGGCACAATTCAGCCAATATCAGGAAGGTTGAACAGACAGTTAAAGCCACTCACACTGGCTTATTAACAAAATGATTTAAAGTAAAAGGTTGTTTTGCAGGAGGTTTGGTGGATAATAGGCGTTGCACAATTAGGCAGACTGAGCAGGAGGACTTGAGGTGAGCACCAGAAGAACAACCTGTGTCTGCTCCAGGCCATCCGCACTGTTTATTTGCGTACACAGGCCACTAGCCTGTGGTCCAGTCTTCATTCCATCTGCAATCACAGCCACTGAGGTACAACACATGCCAAACTGTGGTTTATCTTTGTTTTTTATCCTGTTTTTGTATGACACCACTTAGCAGGGGGGTACAAGATACTGCCTTCAGAGTTTCCCCCATTTCCGCCACATCATTTGCTGGGGGGGGGGTTTTATCCATAATCCAATAAAAGTGTTGTGTGGCAAACGTTGGTGTGACTATTTGTGTGCTGAGGCAACCCCGTCTGTAGCGCGACCTGCTACAATGTTCAATTCTAATATGGTAGCTACAATACGGTGGAGGGTAGACAAACACATGGTTATTAAAACCTATAGTTATATGGTTAAGCTTAGGGACAGATTTACTGTTAGTAAAAAGGTGAACATTAGGTGGAGCGCATCTATGTTCCCAGGGCTGTAAGTCCCCTTACCCGGACTAACCCTAACTAATCCTATAACTTGGCAACATAGGACCCTGGGTGCCATATACATCTGGGAAGGAACATGGAGATGCAGGAATGACGCCAACTTCTTAACCTCTTCATGCTGATTTTCTTCCACACTGCTAATGCCATTAGACATGGCACTGCAGCCTTTATTTTGATTTGAGCTCTTTTATGAGGCAATAGAACTACAAAAAGTATGTTTCTAAATCCTCCCTCTGCACTTCAGGCAGAATGTAATGGATGTACTTGTCTTCCTCTCTATGGCTCTGTTGGACCACAGGTTTCACCATCATCACTCGTATATATCTGCCACAAGGTGCTTTGGAACAAAAGCAATTTCCATGGGTACCTCCTTGACATTATTCCAAAAGGAGAAATTAATTCACTCTATCCATACAGATTCACTCTTCCACTGTGGAGGATTCATAGCTGTAAGAATTTTGTTGTCAATGCTGTGTAAGGTCTGTGCAAGGTTGTCTCCTGTGTGTGATTTAAATCAGGTTTTCAGTCTTGTGGTTTCTGTCTTAGTAGCTGCTTGATTTCAACATAAAACTTTGAATAGTATTTTCTGGCTGAAACTGAAACAACATGAAATCTGCAAAAATGTACAGACAACAGAAATAAACACTCAGCAGCAGAATACAGACAGTTGATTTAGGTAACTCAGGCAGTGGCTGAACTAAAGCACCGAACACTGGAGAAAGAAACTCCCTCCATACAATGTAAAGTCCCAAAAAGGCTACAGAGAGGGTTTGTTAATTTACACTTTATTGTGTAAAATAAAAGTATTGGATCGGGACTTGGTATTGGCAAATACTTAATATTATATGACTGATTGAAACCTTATCAAGACATCCCTAGCAACAACACAGCATATTTTTGAAAAATAAGTTTGGACAGAAACAGCACCTGAAACTACCCCGCACTGCCTCCAGCACTGCTGAGGTTGTCAGCTCTGAAAGATTTGATAGTTTGTAAAGACTTCCAAAAGCGATTCCCACTGTGATTTTTCTTTTAGAGCCGGGCCTCAGTTAATACCTGTGAATACATGTGACAAGTGAGAAACATCTTCGTTGGACTTCTGACCCTTCCGCATGAAATGCTTTTATCAGCAATGTCAGACACGGAGGATTTTTCCAATTATATTGTCATGTTTGGGACCTATTGGTCTCTCATTTTGTCTTTTTACGGCTTTTCACAATTGCTAAAACACTAAACTCAATTCTCCGAACCAAATTATCCTGTATGAGCCCTAAACCCATTTATCGAATCACTCACTCTTTTGGCAAAACTCACATTTTCACTTGCTAAAACACATTCTGTACTGTGATGCACTTGTGTTGCAAAATGGTAAACACGGACGGCACAAGCTGAACACACTTATCATTATTTACTCAAAATTGTTCACACTTGTTTCTATCGATGTGATTAAATGAGTTGACCAGAATAAAATCCAGATATGCATTGTTCAATATCAACTGTGTTTGTGTTCCACCATACTCTCCTTTCGGAAATAGACTTGGCCTGCAGTGACATAGATGTGGAGTCTTGTCAAGGCTGGATCCGGCACAACAGTGGGTTTGTCCCCCGTTGCCTGAGATGTAGATGAAGTCCTCCCAGCACAAAGATGTGAGGCTGAGATTGAATCCTTTGTTTGTATTACTGTATTGCTTCCAGAACACTATACAATATGTTCTGTACTGAGTTGCACACTTTCTTTATAGTTTTTTGAAAATGCAAAATGTGTCTACCACAATACAAATTCTGTAGCTACATGCCCTGAACACTGTGTTAGTGTTTAGTATATAGTGACTGGCTGTGTGTATGATCTTAAAGTATTTTTTGTTTTTGAGCACAGATACAATGGTTTTGAGGTGATTTTGAAGTGATTTGAACTCAAAGGAGTCAGAGGTTCTGTGAATTTGAAGGTTTGGTTTTGTGTTCACAGCTTTGAGGAGAGGGTGGAAATGTGTTTTAGCAGTTGTGAAAAACTGTAAATCCCTTTTAACATTTAACTTGAATTGTGTAGATTCAGATTTATTGTCCAAGAGTGTGATTTGTTTTCACGGTTTACACAGAAACATACAGATATAGACAATACATAAAAAAAATTTCAGCAAGGCAGTTTGCTCAGGGTTGCTCTGGCAGAAGAGATAGAACTCCTGCTGAAGCGACCTCTTTCCATTTTAAAGTCCTGTATCTCCGAGCAGATGGCAGTAACGTGAAGTGTTGATTGAGGGGCTGATCACTTGCTATTGAGAGTGCTAGGCATGTTACAGCTCTTTCTCTCATGTCTGAGAGGGAGATGCTTTTAGAGGCAACTCATGTGATGGGATCTTTATCCCTTTATTTGACAGGACAGCTTGAGATATTGACAGGAAAGGACTGAGACATGATGATGACACGCAGGGCAAGGGCCACAGGTTGGATTCAAACCCCTGGCCGCTGCAGCAAGGTCTCTACCAGGTGCGCTACCAGGGCGCCCTGGTTTGTTTTTGTTGGAGATGGTCAATATGAAACAGGAGACAGGGAGCAACAGACAGCGCTCTGAGTTTACGGATGATATTGAGTCTTTGCTGGGGTCGTTTTATGGATAGAAGTGATGGTGAAGTGGTACTGATCAAAACTGAATTTATTGGCCATAATAAATATAAAATATTTCAAGTTGCTAACCTGCTCAACCTTTTTCCCATGGATGGAGGTGGGGTACAGTCCTGTCAGGTTTTTCTTTCTAGGGGAAAACATGCAGCAAAGGGACTACCCCGAAATTCCACTGGGCACCACTATAACGTGACGTCTGCGACACGGTCGGCTCTGTGATCCACACGTCTTCAAAGCCATATGTTGTTGTGTATTTTATTCTTAAAAAGGATATAAATGGTGTGTTTCTCTCTGTGTGTGCCTCTCACTGATTGACTTCTGGTCTAGTGTCACAATGTTGATCTAGCATAAAATTAGATCTGGAGTCTGCACACAATATTTTATTTTGAAAATGTATCTGATTCTATGATGTTTCTGCAAGTGGACCTATCATCTAAAACTTCATCATATAATTTAAAAGCATTTGACACTTTATTTAATTTGTAGTACACTTTGAACAATAAAAAGCCTTAAGACAATTAGCAGAAATGACTTAAACATATGTATAAACACTGAAAGCAGTACACAGGGCTGACAACCATTTTGTAATCTGAACATAGCAATTTCCTATACAGTATATATCCTTACAGAACAATGCAAATGATACGAATCTTCGTCATTTGTAATACAAATTATTTGATACAGATAATTATGGTACATACTGTACAGTGTGCTTCACCCCTTACATCATGTATGATTATAGAAGCAGTATTGTGAAAATAAGACATTCACTTATTATTTAGCTATTTATTTAATGCGTCCATCCATCATCAATATTTACATATGGGGCCCTTTTTTAACGCAGTTACTTTACACTATTGTGTTTAACATATCATTACTCTACATGACCAAGTATTTAAACATTTTCAACCTATTTCTATCTTTGACCAACTTTTGTATTCATTGATCACCTGAATCGTCTCAACTTAAAAATGCCAGGATTTGTAAACTATATTGTCATCATTTGCACACATTTTCCAAAACCAAAATGATTGCCCAGATTTTTCTTTTCTTTGAAATGGCTTTCATACATAGAACACTGTGCCAAAGACAAATTTCCCCTCTTGGTCAATACAGTTTATTCTATTCTGTCCTATTGTAACATTGGATATTCTTTAAATTGTTGAACTTAAGATGACATTCTAGTGTACATTCCTCCATCATTTACAAATTGTTTAAATGTGTATCTAAACCTGCTCAAGTGTGTTTGAAAAAGTTTGGAGTTCAGCCTCAGAATGTGTTTTGCTGAGCTCAAAAAAGTTTTTGAAAAGCAGCATATTGACACTGCAGTCTTACAGCTTTTTTTCTGGAGTCATATCCAATCAACTATTTTAGGTTTTCCATAATATGTAACATGCTCAAAGTGGATGTTGATGATAGTGGATGCAGTGGCTCCGAACGGGACAGTGTTTCTAAACATCATACTATCCTACCAACAATGTGTCCCGCTTGACAAACCCAAGTTTTTGTCAAGGGGGACATGTAAAAGTGGTCTCATCTTTCATTCTCAATTCTCCATCTTCTGCCTCGGCTTCAACAACAGCGGCTCCGTTGCTGAGCGGCACATCACTTAGGGTGCTGCGGAGCGTCACCCGGGTGACACTGAGCGAGTGTTTCCTGGGAGTGATGTGATGTGGCCGATGGCACATGACCTCCTTGAACATTTCTCTAAAGCGTGTGGACATGAGATTGTACAGGATTGGGTTGACTGCTGAACTGAGGTAGAAGAACACTCCAGAGATGATGTGCACATACTGGAAGATTTCCAGGTGGTTGTCAGTCCAGTTATTGATGAAACTCCACATGAGGCGGTCAGTGTGAAACGGGGCCCAGCAGATCGCAAAAACCACCACTAAAACAACTGGAAAAACAGTAAGAGAGAAAAGGGGAATGATTTAAAAGCATTGATTGATGTTGCCAACATGTTCTCTCTGGTCTCAATTCAATTGTCCCTCTAGGGGCTGTGTGTCAGTGATGGAGAGATATTCTATCCTGGCCACACAGGCTTTGATTTAGTTCTAGACATCAGTGTTAAATAAATCTTTAGATTTATAATTCATGATTTATCTGTGTTTCATATCATTAGTATGGGTCCCAGTACTCATCCTTAACATTTCTCCTGGTTTTGGAGTGGCCCTCATGAAAGGCTATGTAAATTTAACACCGGTTATGACTTGAACACATCATCAGAAACCAAAAAACGAATAAAGGCTACTGAACCCCTCAATGCCAGCCAACCTTTTCACCTCTCTCATTGTGGTTTAAAAGTTAATTGTGCATTTTGATTGATGCAGACATTATTCTGACTCACTCTGAGTTCTTGAAAGGGATTGAGTCCCAAAATTAGTATTAAAAGACTTCCATGCAAAAATAAAAAGTGAGATTGCAATAATGTTGAAAAATGTCAAGACTTTTTACAGACGTTTTACATCATAGATTCAGATTGGCTGTAAGGTTAGAAATGGTTTACCTAATTGATCCTAATTGGTGCAGCTTGTTATATCTGAGTATCGACTTCAGCAATCGTCATTTATTCCTAAAATGGCAGTAACTAGAAAAAAAATCCAAGTATCCTTCCAACTTGACCATTTTTTCTGGTAATATTTTAAATATTTAAAATTTAGAAAACGACTACTACTACAAACTACTACTACTAATAAATGCTATGTTGTTTTTCTGAATCATGCTTCATCATATATCTGTAACACATAAAGTCTGAGGTTTGAGTGTTTCAATAGGTGTTGATTCATGTAACCATCTCTAGTAAGAACAGAATTAGAAGGCATGGCAAGGGCAGTGCATGCAGATGTGCTGGCCATTAGCTCCCTCGTTGCAACCTCCCTCAAACTTAGCTACCTCTTTCTTTTAATTTGTTATTTTTTCTTCATTACTGAAGCACATATCACTTAAAGATTCACACTCATCAACATCGGAAAAAGAAGTGCAGGTATTGGATTAAGTGCAGCAGACCTTGAGACGATCACAGCACTCTGCATCTCCCAGTCAGCCGGTTTTTATTATACAACCATGCACTGTAAATACCTTCTTTCCCTTCTAGTCTACTCATTTGTCATGCATGCTTGTTCTTCAAATTCATGCAGTTACACTTTGCACATACACAGTCTCCTATGAGTTAATACAAAGTTAGAGTTGTTTGAGGCATTGTCTTTAAAAGTTGTTGGGATTTGAACTGCATACCTCTGATCTTTAGGCTTCCATCATTTCACTCATACTGATGAAAATCTTCTAGGGATGCTCTGACCTTTTGAAAGGTTGGCTAAAAACAAACTCTAAGTTGTATCTTGGCAAAATATTGCTTGAAATAAAGATCACAACCCCAGAGGTCTCAATGTTGATGTCTCTGAAGAGAAGTCTAGACAAAACTGTCAGTAGACGACTACATTTTGACTACTGACTGTGCTGGAAAAGTATTCAATAAATTGTATAAAGTTACATCCGTGTCCCATAAGGTTATTTGTTCTGTTCTTTAGTAAGCTGATAAGAGAGTTGATCCAATAGAATCGTAACATCTGTGCCTGTGCAGCCAAGCATGTAAATCAGTGTCATAGATTAATATCTTCAAACAGCTCATGCTTATGCAGTATGAAAGACGTTCACCTCTAAATTTGCTTTCACCTTCACCTCTGAGCGATACAAAAGCACCTGTGGGCTGTGTCAGTAGTTTGTTACAAACCCTGTCAGATCTAGATGTGTCTCTGTCACATATGGAGGAAACCGGTTGACCTCTGCATGGTTGGTGTTTCATCATCATATCAAAATGTATTCATGTGCGTAAGCAACTGTCAAGTATCAGTACGACATGTTTGGGGGAAACTTAATAGCCTTATGGATTTACATTTACATCAGCATATCAGATCGCATATCTTTTCTCTTTTCACTACCAATTTGTCTATTCCCAATAACACAGATGGATGCAGCAGCTTTTTTACATTAAATAGACAACACATGTCAGGTGTGACTGGTGGTTTCTGGTTTAATTTTTCGTCTCCTTTTAGGTCACAGTTTATTGTTTGACAGGAAATTAATTAATTAATATATTAATTGTTTAGTCTGTAATTAAAAAAAAATAGTGAGAGGTCCATCACAAGTCCCCAATGTCATTTTTTTAAGTGACTTGCTTTGTCCAATCAACCAGTCCAGACTGAAAGATTTTCACTTTACAATAACATGAAACAGAGAAACGCAGTATAAGCTCACATTTAAGAGGCTGTAACCAGAGAATGTTTGGAATTTATGTTTGATAAACGACCTGAAATATTAATCAAGTATCAAAATTGTTCACTATTACTTTTCCATTGACAGAGCAATTGACTAATCCTGACAGAACTACATTTACTTGAACTTTGCCCTCTGTATGGTGAGATAATTTGTCAACACTGGCCTCCCTGTGCTGCACCTTGCAATGTATTCATAGAAAATAAATGGGCGCCCATGACTCTGCCCAATTTTGCTCGCTATCTGGTGGGGGAAACACCCCCAGGAACAGCTCTGGGATGTGAGGCTAAATAATCATAATTCCATGTGGTCCAATAAAATTAGGAAAGTGCAAAAAAGCTGTATTATTACTCGGCTGGGACAGAGGAAGTTATAAAGATTTATGCTTCATAATAGGAAGTGTCTCATCTCTCACAAAGAGCACTATGGGATTACAGCTGGCAAGGATATGTTCCAAGATAGTGCCTTTTTATTACAATTCAAGTTTCTCATCTTAAAAACAAGTATCAACCAGGCTCTAATTTAGGTCTGCTTACAGGTGAATAGGCACATAGCTCTTTTTAAGACTAAAGGAAAAGAGTATTAGTAAAGAAAAAAACGAAGATTAGAAAGGTTTGGTACTCACACAACATTTTAGTGACCTGCCTTCGACGTGCCTTCTGCTGCTGTGTTCGGATGTTACAGAAGCTGTCCTGTCCAAAGCCCGACTTCCTCTCCAGTGCCTGATGCATCTTCTCCCGCTTCAGCTGCAGCCCGATGAGCATGTAGAGAGCACTGATGGTGAGCATGGGCAGAAAGAAGAAAAGCAAGGTGGTCACCTGAATGGTCAGGTTGTACATCCAGCGCGGTTTCACCAGCGTACAGATCGCTGAGTCAGGGATGTCCAAGGTAATGTTTCCAGCAGGGCTGGTGGAATGACTTTGAAGGATGTAGATCCCATGCAGACTTGTGTTAGGCAAAGCACACAACACCGACACACCCCACACTGTAAGGATGACCCGTTTGGCATGGGTGCGTGTTACAACATACTTTGCTCGTAGCGGGTGCACCACAGCAATGTAACGCTCCACACTCAGCGCCGTCACATTGAGGATGGACGCCAAGCAAACAGTCTCGAATAGGAATGTTTTAAAGTAGCAGCCACCTTTTCCCAGGAGGAAAGGGTAGTTCTGCCACAGCTCATACAGCTCTAATGGCATGCCGAGCAGCAGCACCAGCAGGTCTGACACTGCCAGACTGAACAAGTAGTAGTTTGTTGGCGTCCACATCACTTTGTTGCGTGCAATGACAGTGCATGTAAGCACATTCCCCACCACACCTATCATGAAAATGACCAGGTAGATGAAGCACACGGGAAGGAACACAGATGATCGACGAGGACCCAGATATTCCTCCAAGTACTTTGTCAGACATGCATCATCCAGATCCATGTGGCTGCCGTTCACCCCAGAGGTCTGGTTGGTACACTTTTCCCCAGGAGGACAAAGCCATTCATCTTTGTCAACCATTAGATACAACGAGCAGTTGTCAGGAGCGGACATAATGGTGAATTAGTCAGACTCGCTATCTGAGAAAAAATACAAACAGACATAAGTATTAAATGTCATTTTAGAGCAAAAGTTTTGAACACTTATCAGAATAAAGTCTAGTGGGGAATGACATTTATACAAAATAGATTTCTAATCATGGTTGAACAGGAATCAAAGTTTTGTTGATTACTGCAACTGTACTTGTGTCAGCACAAATGAGGAAGGAGTTGTCTCACATCTTGACATTCATCTCTCTTCATCATGTTTCCTGACCAATTCCCAAAACTCAGAATTAGATTAGCTATGACTGCTGTTTCTGCCAATGAGTTTTGAATTCACTTCTGACAGTGAACAGAAGACTGAGTAATTGAATAAACTTGAACTGCCATCTGTTTCCTGCCCTTGTAGTAAAGCTCAAAATCATCACAAGCTTTGCCTAGGGGGCTTCAATGAACACAAATATGAAGAATTTTCTTGAAAGTAAGCATCAAAGATATTGTTGTGTGATTGCAGGCCACTACTCTGAAAAATACAGTTGACAAATCTGCAGTGAGAGATGCTATAGTGGGAGACTGAAGACCACTGCTGACCCCTGAACATCAAGTGGCTGTTATTCATTTTTTCTTTATTTTCAACACTACCTGCTCAGCACCAAACTGCAGAAAGACAAGGTTAGAAACTAACTGCTGAACAGTTTACTACTAAAGACACATACTATGTACCAGAAGATCATTTGTACTCAACTACCCAGCATCACTAATACAGGTGACGTGACATTAAATACAGGTTTAAAATGCATGACAAATTTGCTCCATTTAAAACAAAAAAACAAAAAACACCTTGATAAATTTCCTAAAATACCTGGGCCAAATATTACTCAAACACGAGCAAAATAGTAATTTTTTTCACATCATTGTTACACAACCAATTATTTTATTATTATATATTTATAATTATTTTTTGACAATCAAACAATATGGAACATATTGCTGAACCTATTTTAGAAACTGTCCAATCAGTGAAAAAGGTTTCATTGACAGAAGGACATTGACATGGGGTCAGTATAGAAGGGGAGGCTTTGGAGACCATACTAAAATGTCTTCTGTGGTATTTTTATTATTTGAAAAGTGGCAGTGACACAGTGGGGGCTTTATTCCCTGTGTGACTCAACACATGATGAATAGCAGTGTTGCTGATCCAAGTTTGTACGGATCCATTCTATTTACTTTACAGTATGTACTCAAAGAGTCACTGGATTAAAGTGACAGAGGAAGGTAAGCTTAATAGTATTATCTATCATGTGACACAAGGAGACAAATTCTTAAGTCCATTATTTACCTAGGGCAGATTTCATGGGCAAACACAGTTTGTGTCAGTGTTACACACATTTGTACCTGGAATTTGCCCTATACACCGTTTGTTCTCTTGGCACTTAAGCAGCTATACTGTGATTTGCTTAAAGGAATAGTTCAACATTTTTGGAAATGGGTGAAATCTGCAACAGCGCAATAAGGAAAATTTGCCATTTTTTATGTGCCAGACTTTCTTGGCAGGGACCGGTTACCAGGCAACCAGTAGCGGTACAACAATACAACATTTCACTGAGTAAGCCTTAGAGATAAGTAGATTTTGCTATCTTTGAACAGAAACAGGCTTGCTGTTTGCCCGTTTTCAGTCTTTGTGCTAAGCTAGGCTAAACGCCTGCTGTCTATGGCCCTAAATGTACTGCACAGATGTGAGAGTGGTATTAATCTTGTCATCTATCTCTTGGCAAAAAAGTATATAAGCACATTTCCCCAAATGTCAAACTATTCCTTTAAAGGCAGCTCAACAGTGATAATGAGGGAAAGCTAGTGCTTCTCTTTCACTACTCAGATTTATTGGCAACCATAACCTTTAGGCCATTGCTTGTGCATTACAGTGGCAGGAACAAATCAGCAAATTCTCTTTGCCAGCAGTATGACCTTGAGAAGTACTGTCAGCTGTTCAAAGGAACACACATCAGAAAGCAATGACTCATTACATATATAATCTGTGGAGACTGAAGCTCCGGTTGGATGGAAGTAATTTGAAGAGCTTTATAGGAACTTATACGTTCAGTTTATCTGTCATGTTGATAATTCCATACGTTGAAGGAAATTTGATTGTGCTTGACAGATGATATTCTGGGAAGGATTTACAAAGCGATGTTACTGGATTTAAATGTGATCCAGTGATATTAGCATTAGTCAGCTGATGTAAATTTGGAGATAAAGTGGAACAATATTGGACATTCTTCCAAGTGAAAGTTGGATAATGAGAAAAACGAAGAAAAAGAAAAATAATGCTTTCCTTTCAGATACATATAAATGACTGGTAAGCAGGAAAACACCACAATGATTTTTCCATACATTTACATATATCAGTCAGACGTCTTTTATATATCTCTGGCAGAGGCTGCTGCATAATGTATTTCATCAGTATGCATTTTGTGTCTGTCGATTAAAGCCTTCAATCCAGACAGACAATGAGCTTGAAACACAACCGGTTGTAGGCATGTTGTCAGTATAATGCAGCAGCACTACAACGAATTGCGTACCATACACTCATGTGACTTTAGGCAGCAGCCACTATTGTGCTTTAAGAGACTGATGAAGATTTTCATACTGTAGACCCAGATATCCATCAGGCAAGCAAGTGCTTGTCCATCATACTGACAAGATCCTGAAAAACAATCCCCTGAGTGTTTCATTATATTAGAATCTTCTGCAGACAGAAAGCCAATAGACAATCTTGGGTTGTAGCATGCAAGTGCATATTCTAAAGAATAACATAGTATGCTTTATAAATATAGATCCACTACTGTAATGAATATTTTAGTCTTGCAGGATACAGCATCTACAGTGGATTTGATGCATTTATGGATGACACAACATATTTTTTCTCACGAATGTCCTATAAGTTGTGTATCTCAAAAGTCTCAGAACTCTAGGGTTTCATAGATTTTTGATTCATTACAATATTTTAATGCTAAATTCAATTTGCAGTTTGTTTTAAATTCTGTCTATACAGCAAAGTGCTATATGTTATAAATGAATATATAGATATAATAATATAATATAATATAATATATATAGAATATAATTTCCCTCTGGGATTATTAAAGTATTTCTGAATCTGAATCTTGATAAATATGCCTTCAATTGTTTTTTTTAAACAGTCATTCATGACAAAAAGTCTTTTGATGCCTTCAGAGTTAGGTCACCACCATGCCCGACTTATTTCACCCAAAATGAGTGAAACAAAGTCACAACACACACTGTCCTAAAACTAATGAAAGAAAGTGGCTTTTGGAAAGGATTTCAAACTATATATGATCACCTGTTGGCCACAGATTGAAATCTCCTAGGTTAGGTTGTAGATTATACTTTATTGATCTCCAGGGACAATCAATAAAGTTTAGTATGAGGGGAGCTCATGCTCTGCTTTTGAATGTAATGATTTAAGGCTGGTGAGCAGCTACAGTGCTCAGCAAAGCAGGTAACTACATGCATTGCCCTTTTATTTCTGTAAACATACAATACAAATTAGTTTACAAAACAGCTTGTTTAATGCATACAACGACCATTACTATTACTTTTACTGGAGGCAGTAACACACAGGACTTTCACAGTGGTTGGTCGTTACAAGTCGTGCCTACAGTATACAGCTCAGCCAGTCAGTGATTAGGAACAGCTTTGGCACTGGAGTGACGACAAAACTTTGTAGCATCTGTGAAACGGGCAATCACTCTGACACAATAATACAAATATAGCCTACTATTGTAAACCTTCTTACATGAGATTCTAAGAATGATTTCATGAATAAAATACATATTAAGTCCAAATCCTATCTATCTGCCTTGAGAAAAGTGAATAGATTAAAATAATCTAACCTGCTCCAGCTTTCGCAATGAGGTCAACAGCACACTGCTTCCTATGATGAGTCAAAAATGTCATTACTTTGTGGGTCTACATGTGTTTAGGTACATAAATGTTTTAAGGTTCCATGCAGTCAATTCTGTGGGAATTGTGCAAAACCTGAATGTAGAGTTTCTCTGGTGTTCCTCTATGCCCACAAGTCGTTTTCAGTTATCACTTTAATAACAACGAGGACATTTCCATACATCATTTGATGCACTGATGACACAGACGATCTCTGTCTCTCTATTCTGTTTATGCACGCTGCACCTCTCACAACATTATTTAATATTTATCCTCACAATTATTACTCAAAGATGATGTGCTGTTGTAGTCACTGTCATTTTCTTTTTATTTATACTTATTTATTTATTTTTGCTATTTTTTACAAATTTAAAATCAAAAGGGAGCAAGAGAGTCTAGGAGAGAGATGACACACAACTAAGGTCCTAACTGTGTTTAAACTTTATATTGTATTATTTTTGGTTGAATGAGCCAACAGAACACTGTTGAATTTACAAAGGAAGAATCAAATAATTTGTTTTTTTTTAACAGACATACATTTTTTCATTCTTGTGTAGATCTAATTAAATTTCAGTGGTTTTAGTAAAATTATTTTTTTCCCCCACAATTCTGTTACGTTCAACCTGGCAGTGGCTTTATACCAGAAGGACGACACTTAGGTAAATGAAGGTGACTTACTAGACAAATTAAATTATAGCCTCAGTCTTGTAGCCTAAGCAAATCCTATTGTTGGTTTCATTCATATTATAGTAACAGAAATGTAAAAAAAATGTGTGCTGTCCTTAAAATGAAACAACAAATCAAGCTATTTATTAACAAAACAGAATTTTCTTATAATCAGTATTCACATTAGTAGATCATAGCAATGTCATGAGCCCCGGCATGTTCACTTCATTATATTAGCTTATAATAAAATAATAAAAGTGCAAAATCACAAGGTGATAGTTATTATTATAAAAACTGACACTGTTGAGATAACCATAATTGAAGAAAAAGTTTAAAAGTGAATGAATTGGTTGATTATACTCTGAATGATTAAGTGATTTTAAA